GATTGCCCAATCTTCCATCCAAGGAGTGTCTGGTGGGCTTGAACTTCCAGCCTTCTTGTTAGCCTTAGGCACTAGGCCACCAGAGGTCCTAATTCTATAATATTACACCATAAATAGATAATCCAGCCTTTAATAAATGGAAAATGGAGAATATATTTATATAAGAAATGAAGAAAAGCATATTTAAAAAACCAAGCTGGTTTTCAGACTTTCTTAAAAAAGTAAATCTCATCTAGCTAAAATCAAATATCTCTCCTCTCAACTCTCTATCTTGCACTTTCACACTTCTTTTTTTAATTGCAAATGGATGTGTATGGAAATACCATATTTTTATGCAAATAATACATACTTTCCATATTTGTTTGCCAATTGTTCTCTTCCCCCCAGGAGGTATTTTCACAAATGCACTATCTTTTTTTTTTTTTTTTCCCCCAACCACTTATAAAAGAAAATTGACACAGCACCATTTAAGAAAATACCTCCTGGGTGGAGGTTGTGGTGGGCAGACAAACATAGAAGACACTTATTATTTACACAGAAATATGGTACATAAAATTAATATTTTTGGGGCAGCTTGTTCTCTAAAAGAAATTAAAGAGGTACTTTAGTTTAAAAGCAAAGTATTAGACTTACTATCTTCTCTACTTTTACAAATACATTAAGTATTAGTTTTACCACATTCTTGAATTGTTCAAAAAGATTGTCCTTTACTGAGCGTTTAACAATTCTAATAGAATATATCGACTGAATTATGAGGTAGGAATTAATTTCCCTTACTTTTCATATAAGGAAACCTGATGCTGCAGTAGTTAAAGTGCTTGGCTGCTAACCAAAAAGTTGGTGGTTCAAATTCACCAGTCACTTCCCAGGAGAAAAATGAAACAGTCTGCTTCTGGAAAGATTTTGAGCCTTAGAGACCCAATGGGGCAGTTCTACTCTGTCCTATAGGGTTGCTATGAATTGGAATTTATTCAGAGGTGGTGGGTTTTATGATTTGCACTTTACATATGAAAATTTGAGGCCAAACAACTTTGAGTAATCTGTACAGTGTCTCACAGTGTGTATATGGTGAAAACATTGCTGAGCCTAAACTGAATAGATCCTCTTATAACTATTCAAAACCCTCTTTTAATGTTTAGACATACTACTTCTGCAAATTCAACATGTTTTGAATACCCCTGTTTTATTTGTATATATTCATATCTAATTTTTCTTTTCTTATGTCTATTTTTAGACTTAGAATAATTGTTCCTTTATCCTTGAAAGCCTCCCTCATCTACACTGTTAGAAACCCATCATATGTGCCCTATAGTATGTTTGTATATCTTTACACAACACTAATTATGAACTGTATAGTAACAATTGCTTTTTGTTCTTATCTCTTTTGGGGAACACAAGCTTATTTAAACTAAGAATTGAGCCTCCCACAATACCTGGAATAAGATATAAATTCAATAAACATATGATGAATTAATTAATAAAAAACATTTAGCATTTTACACTTATACAAGGTATATTTTAATGAAAATCATGGTTTCTGGAAAGGAATATGGCTTAAGAAGATATAATTTGAAAAACAGGTTAAAGAATTGAAGGAGGTAATATTATTGTAGGAGAGTGAAACATTTTAATAAGGAAGAGTAAACTGTAATGGGGGAATGAGCTATATGATTCTTCAACAGAATCTCAAATATAATTGATGATGTAGCAAAACATAATCAGAACACATGTATGAAATATATTTTTCCTAGTTTTTACTGAAAGGTCATATTTTTATCATATTTTTAAAGTAACTTGTTTTGAAAAACACAAGATCTTTTGTATTGCATCCCAGAAGACTTCCTTCACCTGCTGGTTCCTTAGCGTGTAAATGAAGGGATTTAGTAAAGGGGCAACTGAGGTATAGAGCAAAGCTACACCCTTCGATACAGTCACTCTTTCTTTTGCAGATGGCTTTATATACATAAAGATACAGCTACCATAAGTCAAGGATACAACAATCATGTGAGAAGTACAGGTGGAAAAAGCTTTGGTCCTTTGTTGTGCAGAGGGAAATTTCAGGATGGTCCTAATGATATAAGTGTAAGAAAGAATCACCAAGACCAAGGTGACTATAAGTGTTACCACAGCTAAAACCAAAGACATCAATTCTAGGACATGTGTGTCTGTGCAGGATAGCTGCAGGATGGGAGAAGTCTCACACATAAAGTGGTCGATTTTTCTGGAAGCACAGAAATCCAAGTTGAGTCCCATGACCAATGGAGGAAAGATGATTAGGAATCCAGTTACCCAAGAACTGAGTACAAGTTGGTAGCACACTCTGCTGCTCATGATGATGGGATAATGCAGGGGTTTGCAGATGGCAACATAGCGGTCATAGGACATGGCCGCCAGAAGGTAAAACTCTGTAACTCCCAGTAAAAGGATAAAAAATAACTGAGCTGCACAATTATTATAAGAAATGGTTTTGTCTTTGGTTACAATGGTTATCAGGAATCTGGGAATACACACTGTTGTGAATAGGAGTTCCAAAAAGGAGAAATTTCGGAGAAAGAAATACATTGGAGTCTTGAGACGTACATCCAGCAGGGTGAGGAGGATAATTACCAAGTTCCCCATCATGCTAAACGTATAGTTGAGAAAGAGAAAGAAGAAAATCACAATTTGCAATTGTGGGTCATCTGTCAGTCCCAGAAGAATGAACTTTATTTCTATTGATTGGTTCTTCATTTCTCTTGAGTAAGCCTTATCAAATGTACACAGGGAGAGAAGAACAAAATTACAAATACTAAGATTTTTTTTTTAAACTTAAAATAAAGAAAATATATATTCTCAGATTTACCCATTTGTAAATTATGACTGCAATATGAAATGGCAGATGGCACATAAATATATGCCAAAAGTCAATTTAAAATTCCTTCTAATCCTTATTTCTTTTTATAACATTCCTGATAATTTATTTTCCTTAGAACTTGAATTTTTGGTACATATGAATTTTAGCCAGTCATTTCCAAATGGTCTTTACTCTGCATGTATAATGTAAAACGAAGAAGCATATAAAATATTTAAAATATATTTTGTAATTATGCTTTAACAAACTGATTTGAACAAATTCCCATTTTAATCTATAAGCAATTTTGAGTTCCATTTTATACTTTGTTAAAAATTAACCTCCATAGGGTGCTCAGAATTTTTGTACCTCTTGACATCTTTGAGCTCTGGTGGCATCTTCATCTTTATTGTTTTCATTGTACTCACTTAGCCTCTGAATCTCTTTCTTCATAAGCACTTACTGTTAATTTATAATAACACAAAATGGAATATCTGTTTGGAGACAGCTTTTATAGATGCATATACATGTGTATCCATAAATATATTTTATAATCATACTTAAAATGTATCACAGACTCTGTTTTAAACAGAGGAAAATGTCCTAAATGAAAATAACTAAAAAAGAAACTTAAGTACAGTAAAAACCAAAGCAAGTAGAAAATATATATTAATTTATTACAAACTCCTTTTCCTATCATATTCGTAATGCTAGCTTCCATTATTTTTATCATAGCTGTGCAAATTGCATGAAGTTGATTTGTCTTTTTAAAATGAGAATCCAGGTGGTTTTTCTAAAACCAGAGTTCAAGGTTTTATTATAATTACTGCACTATTCACTGATTAAGGAAACATTGATTTTCCATATGGCATTTTAAATAGTTTAAGATCCTAATTTCAGTGGCTTTGATTTTTCTTCTTTCCCAAGAATACACCTTTATTATTATTGGCTCACTCTATTTAAATAAACCATCATTTTCCAGAGTATAGGATAAATATAGAATGCAAAACTTTATGAAAACAGAAAATAAAACATATTTAAACATACATATAGTAACTTATTTTCTAGTATCCTTTTAAAATGTTTTACCAAGCATGTCTATATAATTTTGGCACATTATTATTTATAAAATCCTGAATATTTAGAAATCATGTTAATTCCTACATTTTCTACAACTAAGAATTCAACTTACTTTCATATTATAGTATCCTGATTCCATTTTACATGTCAAACTACTTCCTCATATACATTATCTATATA